TGGTTGGTTGGTTGGTTGGTTGGTTGGTTGGTTGGTTGGTTGGTTGGTTGGTTGGTTAGTTGATGGGTTGGTTAGTTGATGGGTTGGTTAGTTGATGGGTTGGTTGGTTGGTTGGTTGATGGGTTGGTTGGTTGGTTGATGGGTTGATGGGTTGGTTGGTTGGTTGGCTGGTGGGTGGGTTGGTTGGTTGGTTGGTTGTGTTAGTGATTGCTACTGATTGGTTTATTGTCGTCTTCATAGCAATACCGCCTTCTGCTTATGTTTCAGGTTCAAAGATGGGGGCTTTACTCTTATTATCCCTCACTATCCTGATTACTAGAGGTAAGTTTAACTAAAAATACCTTCGTAAACTCATCCCGAAACGTTTGAGTACAACGGGGRAAATGTAATACTCCAGCCACCATGGTCTAACATGGCCGCCGCGTGAGAAAGTCCCAAAAAGGTCCCATACAAGTGATGTGCTGAGGGAAAATAACCATCAAGGGCCAACCCAACGCGTTCCACACAAATCCAGGGACTTCTTCGAGATTAAGGAAAATGGGTTTGGTCAATGATCAATGAATTGTTCCAAAATGAGGCACGTCTCAATAGGACAATGGTCCCATTCACAGTTCCCTGCGCCATCTTGAAAGGTAGCCCTGCCTTTGCATCAAAGCTAGATGAATGGTGAGCTTGGAGTGATAGACATGTGAATAATTGTACAAGGAGTCGATTTAAAAAAATGATATCTATCATTGCAAGCTCACTGTTCTTCTCGCTTCCATGCAAAGACACGGCTACCTTTCAAGATGGCGCAGGGAATTGTGAGATTAAACTTCACTGCTTCGACGTCACATCCAAGGGTCCTATAAATCAAATAATTCATTTGGTTATTATTTATTTTAGCTCATTCAAACCCATGGATTTTCCAAGAGATCAAACCACTGACCGAAGCCGACGCGGTTAAAAAGTCCACTATCCCGGATGCACCAGTCAAAGATGCCGACCCAGCAACACCTACCATACATATCAAACAGGACATCAGAGATGACATTCTAGGAAAGAACAAAAGTAGCACAAAGTTCAAAGAAGGGGTAAAAAAGCTGCTGGATTTTTTAGAGGCAGGGCCGGAAGCGGTCGGAGATGCTCCCGACAAAGAGACCACTTCGCCATCAGTACTTAACAGTCATGAAGATGCTGCTAAAAACAATAGCAAAAATGATAATCAACTTTTAAAACAAAATAATCAGTCGTTGTCGTACAAGCAAGAAAAGCAGTCAGGAAGCAGCCAAATGAATGGAGTGAATTCGAAAGATCTTAACAGCTTTGCTACTGGCGGTAATTTAGACAACCATGAGAAAGAGGCGAATTCGAATTTCGTGAACCAACAAAGGGAGCCACCAGCTATTCCAATGAGAAGTGAAATAAATGGTAATGGAGTAGTTCCTATTCAAGCACCAGAATCTCTGGACAAACATCTTAACAGCGTTGCTGCTGGCGACCATTTAAGTTCGTTCAATAAAGACAGCCATGATGACAAACCTCTTAAAGAATCGAATTTTGTGACCCAACAGAAAGAACCGCCGGCCATAGCAATGAGAAGTAAAATTAATGGCAATGGAATGCTTCCTATTCACGCGACTATGTCTCTGTTACGTGATGGGATAGCAGACAAAGATCCTTCTGTACTTGTCACAGCACCTCGGATGGGTAGTAATTTGGTAGCAAAGAGTCAAATACCGTATACAACAACGCCATATCAATCGACGCAGCTACTTCAAAACAACGCCATCGTAAGAAGTAGGAATCCCACTCCTGCTAATTTACAACATCTGAAGTATAATCCCTACTCAGCGCTATATCAACGATCGTCATTTCCTCATTACTATGGCAACTATGGATTGACACATCCAAATACCATGGCAACGCCAGCCTACAGATATCCTTATAATCAAAGGAGGATGTTACCACTTAAGGCTAACAGCTTTAATACAGCTTTAAGATCCAATGCTAGACTTCCATTTTATAGGACTGCAACACCAGCTTACAATCCACAATTACAATTACATTATGCCAAAACTTTTGTCCCTCGGCGGCGTCTGGCAATGATTCCTCAAAGGGCTTCAATGTCATCATTCCTTTCTAGAAGATCCAACATTCCAACCTTCCGAAATTTTCAAATCTCACATCCTTATCATGTAAACCCAGTATTACCAAAGTGGAATCTATTGGGAAGAAACACCATTTTTCAACCAGCTTCAAGACCAAGAGGTTTGAAGTATCGACGCTTGGCTGTCAGTGATCGAGGACACTCCTACAATGGACTGTCGTCGCCGCGAGACAAAGTAACGCAAAAAACCCCATTGCCACTACCTTTAGCCTCAATAATGACAGCGGCACGAATCGTTGTACCGGCGCAACCACATACCCTGAATGGAGCTTTTAAGTCAAACGTGGAAACACTGCCGTCCGGAGACCCCGGCGAAGAAAAAGTTGCTCGTGCAGTCTGAGAATAAAGAACACGACCTAATCACCGACTCCTGCTTTTGGAAAACAATTGCAGGATACCTGTGGCAACAAAATTAGGAAATACTCAATATGGTGGATTATTTGGGTTAAAGTGCACATGAACCCTTCGACAATACTTTCAGTACTGATTCTACATAAAGTAAATAGTTGAATGGTAAAATATTTCTTGATTTGAGTGATGCGT